ATATGTATATATATGTATATATATATGTATATATGTATGTATATATATATATATATGTATGTATATATGTATGTATATATGTATGTATATATATATGTATATATAGGTTAAGGTTTTTGACCTAATTAAATATATATATATTCTTATATTCATTTTCATATTCCATGCACTCACATTGGTGAGGGGTATATTTGATTATTTGTATGGAGTGTTGGATTTATATTTTTGGTTTAAATTTAGCTTTTGCATTGTTTAGATCTTTATTTTTTCTTATAGCTTTTTAAATTTTTTTTTTACTTTTTTGTTTTGTTTTTCATTCATCTTCATGATAGAAAAATAACCTCCTTCTCTTTTGACTATAGAGTGGTAATTAGTGCATTTACTTGATGCTATGTGGCTGCAATTGAATAATTAAACTAAATTGATAGTAACATTCACAATGCATAATATAACTCCTCTTGCTTTTGTTATCAATCCCTATGTTTGATTGGAGCTTTTCTATAAAAATCTTAGGGATGATATATGCCATTAGTTCAATCATTTCACAATGATTACCATTTATCATTTTCGGGATGATACCCAGCATTTATGGCACTTAATTAGTCATACTGTTTGATGGGCAAATATATGATTTTGAGGTTATTTATTGCCAGAGGAGTTATATATTTAATGTTGACACCCTTTCTCAAGCTCCTTTTTTATTGGCTTTCTTCTCTTGTTTTTGGCGAGCCTTTCATTTTAGCATCTATAGATTTTTTATTAAATTTTTTGTACTAACAATGGTTGTTATACTTGATATTTAATATCCACAAGATATAAACCAAGATTTACCTTTTTTCAAAAGAGGTTTGCTATTTTAGGGTTAGTGGTGATTAAACCTAAACCTTAAAATTTGTCAAAAAATACTAATTTTTTACTATTTAAGCATTTATATTTTCAATATCGCTTTAAGAACGACCTTCTTTATTTTGTGGGGATTAACCCTAATAATCATTTATGGTTAATGGTGCCTTTAATCTTTATTCCACACTTTCTTCATACTTACTATGACTCTCCTATTCTAAATAGGCACATAAGACATTGTTGTGTTACTAAGAAGCTATGCAAGTGTTTCTATTAGCCGAAGATATGATATAATATTATCTAGTATATGGGTAATACTTCCCCTCGTGCTATAGAAGGACGGTTAGAGTCAATTGAATTTTTTTATCCATTTAAGTTGATGGTATTTGATATAATGAGGCTTTTCCATAGTTGACTATTAGCAATGAGTATATCATTATCACATTCAACTATTTGACTTGCTAGGTGGAAGTCAATGCTCTTGCTAGTGTGTCTATGATTGTTATTAAATACATCCTCCTCAATCAGGTAATATTCCAACATTCTTCTCTAAAGTGGATTCTCCATTCAAATACCTTAAACCTCATATTATCCCTTCTTTTTTAAAAGATGCAAAGTAATCACAGTTCTTTGGTTGATTAGCTGGGATTTGAAGAAACATTAAAAGGAGGCATTGATGGATTTGTAGGTAGTGTTAGTCAATAGAATAAAATAATGTATAGCTATAATACTATATATTAATATTAGATATTTGCATAATGGGATTTTGTTAACTATTAAATTGGTTTCAATTTGGATCACTTACTCTTGTATATAAGCTAGGGTTTTTGAGCTAATTGAAGATGTACATTTTTATATTTCATTTCAATATTCCACACATACACACACACACATAGATATATATATATATATATATATATATATATAGAGAGAGAGAGAGAGAGAGAGAGAGAGAGAGAGAGAGAGAGAGAGAGAGAGAGAGAGAGAGAGAATGAAGTTGTGAGTGCATGGATCACAAAGTGTGTTTATATATATATATATATATATATATATATATATATATATATATATATATATATATGTATATGTATCTATATGTATATGTATGTATATGTATATGTATGTGTATGTATATGTATGTATGTATGTATGTATGTATATACATATATAGATACATACATACATACATATATATATATATAAACACTTCATTCTCTTGATAATAAAGTCCTTACAAAGTAATGCTTTTTAGCACTATGCTTTATTTCGTTAAAGTGGGACTTATTCAGTGAAGTGGGACATTAATTAGCATGTGTCCACATGCCATTTCCTAGTACTTAATTAATATTTATTAATATTTCTATCAGTTTTTTAATTTATTTTTTTATATTTCACAATATTATAACACAAAATCATATGAAAAGTTTTTAATTTATAAATTATAAAGTTAAAACTTCAATTTTTTATTGTTGTTATAAAAATGGCATGTGGCCACTGTAGCGCACGTGGTTTTGACCCTTTATCCTATGGTGATTTACCATAGGATAACACCACGAAGCGGAACCTAAACCCTCTTTGTGCCACGTGACAGATGCCACATGTCACATGCCACGTGTCCATGCCACGTGTCCACAGGAACCCGAGGTTCAGGGCCTTGGGCCACTGAACGAAGGAACGGTGCCAAACTCCCAAGCGTGACGCCAAGGAGTGATGGAACCGGACCACGGAGCAACTCCCGAGCATATAGCCCAAGGAGCGAAGGGACAGGGGCCCGGAGCGACTTGGAACAGTCCTAGAGCAATCAGCATCCCAATGCCAGGACCAGCACGCAAAACGGAGCCAAACGGAGTCTGACGCTATTTCGGCATACCGGTGGCCTAACGTGAGAGTATGGGTACTCCACCAGCTAGCATGGAATGGAACTTGGGCTTAGACCCAAGCCGGACGCAGAACAAGGACAGGCACGCAAGCGGGAGCTAGACTATGCCTCAGGTTGGTCGGCCATGCCCGACCTACCCACTATCCCTACTATACATTTGGAACCCCCCACAGCCCCCCCCCCTTGAGGAACACATGCTTTGGGCTTTCACCCCAAGCCTCCCTTAGTATCAGGAGTTAGTCTCTGGGACAAGCTCGAAACTTACTAAATATGGAATGTCCCTAGATTGCGAATTTGGACATGGGACGAACACCATTGTGTTCAGGACGATCTCTACATTCCGTAGATATGCCAAATGAGCAAATCTGGACACTTTCCATAAATAGCATTTGGGACCAAAATGAGACTAACACAAAGGGCATGATAGCGAGGGTGTTTGGCAGACACGGTAAGCTATCATCTAGCGATGTTGAGGGACCAATCTCAATATCGCGGGGGTTCTTGATACTAGCAAGTGCAAGCCAATGACTCAAGTTTCTCAAACCAGGCCGAGTATGCTCAGCAAGAAACACATAGGGTTCCTACCTTATGTTTATCCAATTTAAGTGCATGGTCATTGACCAGTTTCTCAACTAGCTCAAGTGGGAACTGATAACGGGTCCAGCAATACCGACCTCCTGCCATCGTGGCAGTAAGGTAAGAGTGTCTGTAAGGACTGGCCGACAGGTAACTTTCGATACCTGAAGTCACATTCGCGACACTCTCCCCCCCTTGGGAAGATCGACGTCCTCGTCGATGCATACTCGAGTCTAGAATACCGCCAAGGAAACAACTCCAGAAAAAGTTCACGGTACTCACACTATGTGAGAAATGCACCGACTTAAATGAGTTAGGGGTAACCTCTTTGTCTAACGCGGATGCGCTACCAGCTCAGACACCTTCCGGCCGTCGCCGACAAGGAAATGACCAATGGAGTCAGCCACCCCTGCTGCTCTGGGAGTCACCCAGCTTACAAAAGTGTGATATGCCCTGCCCGCAGGAACATAGAGAGAGAAGCCAGAGGCCCCGACCCTCCTAAGCAAAGAAACCAAACCCGTCGGTAAGGTTTAGATAGACTACTGTCAACAGGCAGTTTAGAG